CACATGACTTGCCAGAAGACGCCCAAGCCCGAAGGAGAATTATTAAACAGTTCGAAACTAATCGCCTGGAGTTCATCCGCATGGTCGAGACGATTCTGTCGACCAAGGAAAAGGATGAACGCGAGRAAGAGGCCTTGCGAAGGGCACAGGGGAACGTGCGACCGCCCTAATGGAGAACGAAACATCCAGAGTGGTGGATTCCGGTCGGCTCGCCAATCGGATGGCAGGCACGCGAATTCAAGGGCGGCGGACTCCGGTCGGCCCGAGAAGGACAGGAAGAAGACAAGTAAAACTTGTAATGTAATTAATATTTGATACTGTCAATAAACGATGGCGGCGCCGCGGAAGCGATGCGAAAGCAGATCCCGCGGTGTCGTCGGTTAAAACGGACAAAAACAAAAAAAGGTATAATTTTTCTAAATAAAATATTAACAAATACTCAATTCTGTTATGATTTAAGTTTATTTTTATTTTTAAATGTATCAGTGATATTGCATTGTATCGTTTTAAACACCGATGTGTTTGAAAATCGTTTAGTGTTTGGTGCTTTTCGTCTTATAAAAGTTARATAWTATTGTGTAGTGCTAAGTGCTACGAAAGGCATTGCTCAAATAAGAAATAACATCTGCCTTGCAAATATTATTATATTATTATATTAAGATTATTTATAAATAATCATAGGTGCGAATTGATGGAGGGGTCTTAGGGGGTGCTAATACCCCCAATTTAAAATTAGCACCCTCAAATAATGTTTTATGTTATGTATTAACAATTTCTACTTACAAAAAAAAAAAAAACTATAATGAGAAAATCCATAGGTTAAAAAACCCATATTTATGTTGAAATTGTGCCCATGTTAATAATAATAAACATAATATTATATTAAATAAATCAAATTTGGATACTCCTGTTTTTAAAAGCACCTCTACAGGCTGTGATTTGCACTCGTCATTAATAATGGTCGTACGGCAGAAAATTATATTACGTCCGATTTGAATGTAGGTACAGCACAAATACATGAATGACAACACATCACACGTGGAATGAAAATTACTATTACTGCCACACCATGATCAATAGTGTCATAAAAATGTTTATGATCACACTTAGGCGTTGTTATTTTATCCATTACTTACCTGCATTAACACGTTAACGAATACAGTAATAATACACTTATATGTACCGGATGACCCATTTAACACAAGACACTCATTATTTAAAAAATGATTAACTTTTTTACATTATGTTAAATGGTTTGAAAATAGTTTTATTATTTTTCATCGTTTACATTTTTTTACTTTTTTGAACGTCAACACGCGTATTTGAATTCCTTATTCCAAAGCAAAATACTTTTTGGAATACTTCAATGGATTATAATCGAATTTTGGAAAAATATACAATATAGTTAATGAGCTATTTAAGGTTTAKATGAGCAGAGTGAAATGGTATAGCCTACCCGGCTACCCCGTTAAATTTTGGTCCACAACTCCACTTATCTAAAATTTAAGATCCTACTCATAAATATTTAACCGCTTGTCTAAAATTTGATTTTTATTGATCGAAATACTTTGAATTACTCTCCTTCGAAATGTGAAATTAAAAATATTTGTCGTTGTTCAAAAGAATAATAAATTAAATTTATAAAAGTGGTAAAAAAATTTTTTACCAAAATTTTTGTTTTGAATGTGTAGGCTCAAAATTATGCAAAGAAATATTTTCAAAAACATTAGGTTTTTTCTAAAATATCGAAGAGTGTAGGTATCTAATGTTAAGTTATAGACCACTCAGTATTTGTAATGTTCATTATATTATACTTGTGTTAATCTTACATCAAACTAATTCGTTATATACCTACCACTCGTGGTTAACTCGATTTTGTTGTAGATAAACAATGACGATAACGATTCGAAAACCATTTCTATTTGACGTAGGTACTTGTACCCATGATGTACAAACAATTATTGCCGTCGAACCACTTTAATATTATAAATTTATAACGATTCATTTTGTTATTTATTTATTTATTGTTATTATACTGCKTACCGATGTTGTATGCGCGGACTATGTAGTTTTTCGTGTGCATCATCGTAGTCGACACCTTTGGTACGCGAATACTACACTCTGTTTGACTGTCTATTTTGAAGAAAACGTCAAATATCCAAATAAACATGCCCTCTAGTCCTTGTAGTTCGCAAAATAATCGACTGCCGGATATCACGGAGAGTGCAGGCGACACGCTGGTCTACGACCGTGAGATACTCAATATCGGAAGTTCCGACTTCATTTGTGAGTATAATATGTAATATAATATGTACCTAATCCATTAAACGTAACTCGGTGGAATAAATAGTGCCGTACCCGTACGGATCCTATAACAACCTTGCTGCTTACAAATACCTTAAAGAAGTATACGATATTGTCGTTTATTTTATCATAATAAATTGTACCTAGTATCATGCMACCGGTGTATTAATATAATTAAATTAATTTAAAAAAGTAATAAGTGTGTACTGTTTTTTCATTAGACGGCTCCGATATAAGAACGGCGGCGTCGAGTTTGAACGTATTGGGTAGGTAAATATTTTTCCAATTGAAAGAAAATCAAATTGCCATGACTCACGTCTCACGAAGTTTGTTGAAGATTTCWAAAGGTTAGGTACTTGAATTAACTCCAGATTTCAAAATTATGATTTCCTTGAATCCCCTCATATAGTTTAGGTAGTTAGTGACCCTCTCTTTTTGTACTAGAATCGCTTCCGCGCCTCCGCGGTGATTATAATCATTATAGTAGAGGTAGCTCAAACTGTTTGAAAGTCGAAAAATCGCACAAAACTTTTGGTGTACGTTTGAGTTTGACAGTCGAACCTACGTAGTTTAAAAAAAACCTAATCGAACCGAACTTGAACAAACATTTCCAAATTCTGTATTTAATCYGGAACAAATCTATGCTTTACTATTATTTCGACATACCTACCACATGCGATATACTTAAAAAGTTTGATTAAACATTTAATTCAAGAGATTGAGTTCGGTTCGACGTCGAACGAAATATCCAGTTTGACATAATAATATACGATTAAAAATGTTAGTTATGGACCATATTATTTTTGAATAAATTCGACCCACCTTTAATACAGAGCTGGTAATGCTGGTATATCATATTATTTTATATAATATATTATATGTGTAATGCCTATGTAAATATAATTGCGATCCATCATAATGCATCGTATGTTATTATAGTGATAGACGAGGTGAACGAAAAAACAGAAAACAATTATTTAAAGACTTGTTGTAGACAAATAGCCAACAAGACAAAATCGGCATTCAGGCGCAAAAACATACCCAAACGGTTACCGTTTCTGCAATGGTGGCCGACTTACACGACGGAAGACTGTATAGGAGATCTTCTTGCTGGTATCACGGTTGGTCTAACCCTCATACCACAATCYATGTCATTCGCAGCACTGGCCGGTCTACCACTTCAAGTAAGTGTACKACCATAACTGACTAATGCCAGGCGATTTTTGTGCGTGCGTTCGTCAATCGTGCCACAAAAAGTAAACAGTGTCTGTATAATATTATTATTTTAAGAATAGAAAATCGTATACAACCAATGTGTATCCACATTGCATGCCAAGAATAAAATTATAATGAACAATCAATCGCTTAAAAAATAAAAAGTAAACATTCAAATTTCAAATTGACTATTATACATTTATACCCATCAATATTTTGAAATAAAGATTGTTTCTTGAGTTTAAAGATTAAATACAAAAAAATGATGCTCTGCAGAAAAAATAGCATGTACAATGTACATAATATATTAAAATGATATAAATGTATAATACATATTACTATAGCCTTCAAAACGGACCATGATATGCAACTAGGAAACAAAATTTTAAGTTAGTAAGAAGTGGCATACAATGTGGCGACTTCATGTTTAACGACGGAGGTACTAATCCTCTTCATATTTATATACCTACATATATTTACTTGACATAGGTGCAACTGCCAACTAGGTAGGATGATTGGATAAAAAGTCACAAACAAAGTTTTCTTCAATGAGAAATAAAATTGGCTCAGAACAAAAAAGTAACAACGAGTAGGTATACTGCAAAAATGTTTTATAACATTTTCCAAACGCTTAGATTTTTTATACCATTTAAATGTTTAATTTAAAATTTTATCTGTGGCGAAATCAAATTCTTTTTTTCAAATCAAAGTCGACCATTTTTCTGTAAATAATTATTAAACTGATTTTGTTCTTAGAAATACAAATAATAATTGAAATTATGAACCTCAAGTATATTTCAAAATTGAATAAATTAAAAAACGGGTGAGGTGCATGATTGGTAAATCAAGTATTCAATAAAAATATTTTACACGTATAGGTACGTAAACGCATATCGATCTTTATTAACCATTTGCAAATACCTATACTTGCCGACTTAGTAAAGSGGTTTATTGGGACACACAATATCAAAGTGAAAATGAGAGGGCTACAGACCCTCCCCTCCAATCCCCCCACACACAAAAAAAAATGTGATACTAGATGCGCCTATGGCTATGTAATACCTAACAAAACACGTGTCTTATATATTATCCGCTCGTATCCAGTATGGTCTATACGGTTCGTTCGTCGGCAGCCTGATGTACGTCTTCCTCGGGACTTGCAAGGAAGTGCCAATGGGTCCGACGGCCATCGTGTCACTAATGACGTACAACACGCTCAACGGACGTGGGCCAGTGTACGGCACTTTGATGTGTTTCTTGTCCGGAGTCATCCAACTGATCATGGGAATGTTGGGATTAGGTAAAGTAGGGAAACTTACAATAACGTGGACCATGATATGATAATATATGCCAGGGGTGGCCAACATGGATACGTCCACGAGCCACATGGATTAATATAATGATATTATAAGAGTCAAAATTTTTATAAATACATTTTATAATTTTTATTGTATTTTATCATTGATAAGTAAATATTGGTTTTTTTTAAATATAACACGAGCTGCAAGTTAGCCACTCCTGATATATTACGCCATATGGTTTKAAGACGATCGCGATTTCTCGTCGATTATTATTCCTGATTTCCCGTGTACAGGTTTCTTGATCGATTTCATCTCTGGGCCGGTGAACGCGGGATTCACGTCAGCCGTCGCCATACTCATCGTCCTCTCACAAGTCAAAGACATACTCGGAATACGCGCCGTGGGGTCGACCCTGCTCGAAATGGTTGTATCCCTGTCCAAAGACATCAGTAATGTTCGAGTGGGAGACATGGTGGTTGGATCGGTGTGTKTCGCTGTGGTTCTGTTGTTAAGAGTAAGAGTGAATAAATCAAAATTATTTCTATAGGTACGTTTTATTTCCTGAATTTTTTTCAAAATATGCATTTATTCATAAAAATCACTAAATATGCAAAAATCTGCAAAATAAAATTGAATGTATCTGATTCTATGCCGCACAAAACAAATTTATAACTTGGTCTGCAAAGTGCACGACTAAAAGAAAAAATATGCAAAAGTCATAAACATCCTAACCCTAGTTATAACATTACGAACTATGATGATTATTACGACATGACTATTACGATATTGATCTATGTATTCTATTGTTTAGATGTTAGCTTTGATCCACGTRGGCCCCGAAAACGAAAGCGAACGCAATAAAGGTCAGCGAATTATCAATAGAACTATGTGGTTGATCGGCACTTTTAGAAACTCTATTGTCATCATCGTTACCACATTCATTGGGTTCCTGTATGTGAATTCGTCGGGTCACGACTTGACATCTAATGAAATGCCACCGATACCGTTCAAGGTGATTGGTAAGTGGAGGGTGTTTTACTTTTCCACAAAAATCTACTGTTCCGTTTTCCACACAAGTCCCCGCTTACTGCCAGAATAGATAGCAACATAATTTACCTTTTAAGTTGTAATATATAACACTTTAATTTTACGCCACAACAAATCTCAGTTCTTATGTGTTGGTTACCCCTTACTATAAAAAAAATATATAAATATTTATGTAACATATGATTAATTTAAATTTTATTCGCTTGGAAAAGTAAGTGGAAACTTGATAAAATAATAAAATCATAACRACGCACATAATATTATATTGTCGTAGACCTGTTACTCATAGATTGGCTTATCCTATATACTAAATACATTGATAGCCGCATGTCGACATGGCGCAGTGTTGAAAGCTCGTTTAGTAAAAAAAACCTGAAAAGCGCCTCCTATCTTAACACGATGGAAACACGACGAGGGCTGGTCTATTAGTAAAATACTAWAATGCCTATGCATATTGTATTGCGGACGTAATATTTTCCCTCTTTCTTATGAAACGGAGAAAAGGTACCGACTGTGAAAATATCATCGTCTTCGTGGTCTATAATATACGTTTTTACAGTTAGAGGTTACCAAATTGTAAGAACTATTAATTTTATTTTTGCTGAAAATTCAAATGAATATTACTATACGTATTAAACCTACTCTGGYGACTGGTGGAAAACTTAGACGACGGATAACTGCAGATAAGTAAGAACCGTCGATGTCCACCATTGCGGCTGTGAAACGGTGGTCGTGGTCTCGGAACACTGCACAGACTGTCGATTATTATACCKCTAATAATGTTCCAGGTAAAATCCCGTCGGGTTTACCGGATTTCGATTTCCCGAAGTTTAGTGTCGAGGGAGACAACGGGACCACRGTTGGATTCTTTAAGATTGTCTCGGACATGGGTTCTGGCGTTATAGTGTTGCCGATCGTAGCGCTGATCGAAAACCTTTCCATATGCAAGACATTTTGTCAGTATATAAAACCGGAAAGCCTTGTTAACCGCGGATCAATGAAATMATTAATTTTTTTTTCTCGTTCACTTTAGCTGTGGGAAAACCCGTTGACGCCACACAAGAGTTATTGGCAATTGGATTGTGTAATATCGGCAATTCGTTTTTTCACGCTTACCCGGGTTCAGGTTCTTTCTCCAGAAGTGCCGTGAATGCCG